ATGTTATTTAGGTGTCTTCAGCCTGAAGATGACGAATGTGACTTCGTCGAAACGTCGCCAAGACACTTCTAATTCTACGCGGGAGAAAACCCGAATAACTAAAGACCTACATACAAACACCCGCGAAAACCTCAGAAAACATATATATGGAGCTCCCAGCGAAAGCTTGGTTTTAAATTAAAGTTTTAAACTTTTTTACTCTCCTGGTGATCGTGAGTTTTTATCTATTTTATACTATGGACTTACCCAGGAGTCACATCTTCAAGGATATTATTGAGCATATATATATATATGCATATATATATATGCATATATATATGCATATATATATATATGCATATATATTATTGAGCATATTTATTTATTTATTTATTTATTTATTTATTTATTTATTCATTTATTCATTCATTCATTTATTTATTCATTTATTTATTTATTCATTTATTCATTCATTCATTCATTTATTTATTTATTTATTTATTTATTTATTTATTTATTTATTTATTTACTGCTTCACCTCGTGAGCAGGAATACTGTGCGCCTCATGCCACCCAGGTAGCAAGGTTGACATCATAGCGGTATTCCAGTACTTGAGGGGCTGCCACAAAGAAGAGGGGGACGACTTATTTCCCAAAGCACCATAGATATATATATATGGCACCTGACAGGGAAAACTCCGCCTTCGCCCTCCAGCCAAGCGCGGCCACTGGAGCCCTCAGGAAACCCGCACGGGCCGCTGAAGCCGAGGAGGCGGGCTCTCCCTCCCGCCTCCGTCTCTTCGCTCGGGGCTGGCGCTCGAGCCAGGGCAGAAGTAGTTGGGCGCCTGGGCTTGGGGGGAATTTCTTTCCGCTCAGCCTCGGCGATTCTACCGACATGGCAAGCCCGCGGAGCTGCTGGCTGGTGCTTGTTCTCGCCAGTGTGGTGCCTGACGTGCAGGTAAGGACGAACGGAGGTGTGTGTGTGTGTGTGTGTGTGTGTGTGGAGGGGGGTCTTCCTAGCACCTCCTCGGTCGAGCTCCCACTGGGTTGGTTGTATTTTGGCGGCCGTCCGTTTCGAAAGCTTCGTGCACGCGGCTCACCAAACGCAGAGAAGACCAGTCCGCTTTCCCGAGGTCTTCATTCGAAATAGCGCGCGTTTGGATTGCGAGCGTGGGTCGGTTCTTTCTTTACATTGATTCAGATTGATTATGTGCCGTCGAGTCGTTTTAGACTCCCAGCGATCATATAGATTTTTCTCTCTCTCAGGAACACCCCCCCCCCTCCGCCTCTGCCACGTTGAGGTAATATAGCAGACTTGGGGGGGGGGGGCTTTACATTGGCACCGAAGGTATTGCTGTGGGAAACCTGGCAAGGGTGGGCTGTATCTGTATATGGTGCAAATAACAGCGGGCTTAATAGATAGATTAGATAGACAGACAAAGACAGACAGACAGACAGACAGACAGACAGACAGACAGAAAGAAAGAAAGAAAGAAAGAAAGAAAGAAAGAAAGAAAGAAAGAAAGAAAGAAAGAAACCTGGCAAGGGTGGGCTGTATCTGTATATGGTGCAAATAACAGCGGGCTTAATAGACAGACAGACAGACAGACAGACAGACAAAGACAGACAGACAGACAGACAGACAGACAGAAAGAAAGAAAGAAAGAAAGAAAGAAAGAAAGAAAGAAAGAAAGAAAGAAAGAAAGAAAGAAAGAAAGAAACCTGGCAAGGGTGGGCTGTATCTGTATATGGTGCAAATAACAGCGGGCTTAATAGACAGACAGACAGACAGACAGACAGACAAAGACAGACAGACAGACAGACAGACAAAGAAAGAAAGAAAGAAAGAAAGAAAGAAAGAAAGAAAGAAAGAAAGAAAGAAAGACAGACAGAAAGAAACCTGGCAAGGGTGGGCTGTATCTGTATATGGTGCAAATAACAGCGGGCTTAATAGATAGATAGATAGATAGATAGATAGATAGATAGATAGATAGATAGATAGACAGACAGACAGACAGACAGACAGACAGACAGACAGACAGACAGACAGACAGACAGACAGAGGGAAACCTAGCAAGGGTGGGCTGTATCTGTATATGGTGCAAATAACAGCGGGCTTAATAGATAAATAGATAGATAGATAGATAGATAGATAGATAGATAGATAGATAGATAGATAGATAGATAGATAGATAGATAGACAGACAGACAGACAGACAGACAGACAGACAGACAGACCTGTATTGTCATTTTTTACTGTGGGCACAATGGCACACATTAAAAATGAAATTTAGTTGCTTGCTCTCAAAGTGTACACATACATAACACAACATTTAAACATACTATATACCAGTGGACCAGTACTGAGCTGCGGCATGCCAGCAACTGGTCCACGGGATGCAGGCAGCACACAAAACCACGCACCCTCTGGTCCGCGGAAAAACCTCTCTCCGTGGAACCGGTCCCTGGTGCCCAAAAATTTTGGGGACCTCTGCTATATACTATATTCAACCATCTTGAATACATAATGGAAGGAAGAAGCTTTAGAGTTCACAAGGTTAATACTGTATGAAACAAAACTATGACTGAATCTGGATGTTCTGCTTCAGATACCACGGAGCGTCCTCCCAGAAGGTAACAAAGAAAACAGGTCGTGAAGAGGATATGTAGTGTCCCATGCTCCCACTGAACTCCTGTCTTGCTTTTGCATAGATCCCCATAGGTAAAGTAGAGGTGGGAGAATTCATTGCATTTAAGTCCTACTGTCATTAATGGGACTTAAAGCAATAATTGCTAGCTTTTCCCATTGATTTCAACTGGTCTTAGCTAACTACATCTGGGCAATCAGTTCCGTATTGTATGATATTACTGCTGGTATGCTAAACAAATATTCTGTGAAATAAACTCTACTGGATAGTTGCACACACTGTGCTAAACCATAATTTTGGCTTGTTCATTTCAGTCTCATGTGTTGTGCAAACCTTGCTATAATGGTTTGCCATCCATCATTTATAGTTAAGCATGTTGTGCACATGAAAGCAATTGATTGTGGATTATTTAAGAAACTGTAGAGTTTGGACAAAACTCAGCAGCACTTTTTTGTGCGGCTGCTGATAAAAACAGGATGGCCAACATGATCGCCAACGTCTGATAACGGATATGGCACAAGAAGAAGAAGAAGAAGAAGCTCAGCAAAGTATGAGAACCAGGTCACTAAGTTTAATGGAATTAATTTGAATGCTCAAATTGGCCTTTCTTCCAGTTATTGTAAAGATAGAGGAGTGGATTAGAAGTGGGGAGAGGGGGAGGGGGAGAAATAATTTATTCTGGCTGGATTGCCTCCTTCTTCAGATAGACCCTATGTGCTGTAACCCACATGGAGGCACAAATAGTATAAACCAATTACGGGGAAAAAACCAAGGATTTGAACTGAAATGAACCAAATAAGCACAGATTTATTCCAGCAAATCAAAAGCCCTCTTCAGCAGAAACATATATTCTGCAAAGAGTAGCATAATAAGCTTCGGAGAATTTTAAAAAAAGGAATCAGTCTTTTTAAGGTTTCCAATTTCCTTCAACTCTCATGTTAAAACCTCATGCTAGTGTTTTTACTTCAGTAAATTTTGAAATTAGAAGAAAAACAAGCCATTCCTAGCCATCTTTCTCAGGATATGTGCACCCAGTAAAGCTTTATAATAGAAGATTACAGTATTGCAGAATATAACTTGCATATGCTGAAAAATAGTGTATTAGAATGCATACAAAGCACAGCTATCCACTTACTGTACTCATGTTTGTGTTTTCAAACCTTCATTGGGAACAGACTGTATAGTTCACCCAGCAGTGGTTTTCACTCCTATCAGTCTTTAGGAACAGATTTCCAGCTGGAAAAGTCTCTGGTGATGTGGCTTTCACCACTTCCCTTGGGAAGCTACCCTGTAAACTAAACTCTGTATTTGAACATTAAGATTTTTTATATATATGTGGGTGAGTCTCTTGTTTCATTTCCACTGAGGTTTGACTGTATTAGTCTCAGCTACATCGCAATCATTTTTTAAAAGTGATTTTTATTATTTTAAAATGTTCAAGAAGTAGTTTGAGCAGCCCTGGATTAAGTGTGATAATCTGCAAGAAATTCAGAAGAAATCAATGTTATTCTTCTGTAAAGGTCAAGTATATACAATATTAAACACTTTTGTGCTTCTTAAGTGTAGTATAAGTCAGCTCACAACAGTATATAGTAGTACTAGTTTAGAATGTGCTGTGAATCAGAAAGTAATTGTGTTGAACTTTACCTCTCTTATTAATATAGCTGATAACTATACATCACATGCAGCCACCTATCTGTAATATATCTCAGCAGTATTTCTTATCCTCTCAAGAGTCAATACTGGACCAATATACTCTATATTCTTTTGGAAAGACATATAATGTGTATGAAGTGCTTTGAAGACTCAAGAATATGGCAGTGTTGACATTTTTCTTGGAGATATTTGCCTACCAACCTAGCTAACATTGACAGTGCTTTAATGATGTTTTAGTAATGTTAGGTAAAGATAAGTCTACAAGAAGAAAACCAAATTCAATGAATATCAAGATCGTAACATTTCATCTTGGGACTCTTAAAAATTCACTACAATTACTATTGTGTAATTACACTGTTTCCTATATATATTCAAAAGACAAAGTATGATTTGGAGCACCTGTGAATGTGTTGATTGAGAACATCGTAAACCCAAAACATTTTTTTCTCGGAATTGTGTGTCACCAGCAGAGGGCATGTTCATGGGTCCAGGAAGAGACACAGCCACTTTAAATACATGTATGACCAGGTACATTCTGAGTTACATTTTGCCTTTTGAATCTGGATCTTTGCACACTCTATTATTTTTACACTTTTGGCTCCCCCCCCCCTTATTTCCAAAACCATCATCTCAAATGAGTCCTGTTTATCTTATTTTATCCATATATGAACAGAAAGCCATAATTACATTATTTTTATTCTGTATACATTGGTACATATTATACAGTACTATAATTGTCTGTTTTCCATTTTACCTTATCATTGATATATTTAGTCTTGCCATATGCATAAAATACAGATATAAAGCATTCAATTTGTATACATGAATATGTATGTGTATGTAGTAATGATACAATAAAAATTAAGAATTGTGAAAGCTAATAAGGACAACAATTAAAAAGTTGATAAAAGTAAGTAATTCATTAACTTGCAATGTGATTAATAATAGTTTGAAAGTGTTCTCCAGATTCAGAGTTCAGTGAACTACTAAATTATACAATTATTCTGTAATTATTAAGAGAAGACTAACATTTAAAACTTAAACCTGCAGAAGCTGACACATCCCACATTATTTATGAAACTGTTGATTGAATTCATTAATGTGCAATCAAAATGCACCTTTTGCAATGGAGTTCATTCTTTTGATAAAATTTTGATACCCCATTTGATACTCCATTTTATATGCAATATAAAATGGAACAATCCACAATAGAGCAACATTAATCTATGGGTCTTTATAGTGACTTTTAAATTTCATTCCCTGTACTGTATTAATTGAGTCTTATAATTAAAGTACAGTTAGTGATGATATAATCAAGGTGCAGGACTGTAGAGGTAATTGTTGCAGTTGGGCTGTGCCAAATAGTGAAAAACATGCAACAGCAGCTGTAATATCTGTGTGAGAAAGAGTAAATAATGTGTATGTCACTAAGGACCATAACATGTTCTCTTACACATTAAGGCCTGAACCAGTCAGTGTCAGTCATCTTGGCTTTATAATTAACTGAGACAAGAGATGACAAGCAGAAAACTCTTCATAAACACCTCCATATTGTACTCTTTTGATTTCAAGGCCAAGGATGAAATATGAAGTACAATATGCTTTTTTTCATTGGAATAAGAAGAGAGGATGACTGGAAACCCTCATCTTTCCT